AATCCATGTTGTCACAATTTAAAACAAATCTAAAAGTAAAGCTGTTTTCTTATCTAGAAGGTGGATCAACGATCCAACTTTTCAAAGAAACTCATGATGTCATAATTGAATAATAAATATTTAAAAAAAGATAGAACACAAACAATGAAAAAGTAAAAAATTCTATGACATTTGGGAACATTTATAATGTTATATATTCATCATAATAAAATAAAAGTAATTGTTAAAATAAAATATATTTTTATTTATGGCATAAATGAAACACACAATTTAATAATAATAATAATAATAATAATAATAATAATAATAATAATAATAATAATAATAATAATAATAATGATGATGATAATAATAATAATAATAATGATAATTGTTATTATTATCATCATCATCATCATTATTATTATTATTATTGCAATTTAAATTTTCCACATGCAATGCACGTGCACATTTACTACAAGTATTTGAATTTATTTTTAATCATATTGTTACTTTTGTTAATTTTCAATTTTTATATTAATTATGGTATATCTAAAATTCAAATAATTAATAAGAAAAAAATTTCTCACATACAATGTACGTACTTAATAAACTTTCCAACGAAGCTATTTTTTAACACCCCATGAGGGCAAATATCCACCAGGTAGGGTGGAAATTGCCATTTCTATTGGCAATACAACGTGGGGGATTTCCTGATTGGAGGTCCTATGAAAATGGTGATTTGAATTTGATGCATACATCTTGAAAAAGTCTACCAAATTCAAAATCTCAAATTCACTAAAGATAATAAAAGATCCAAAATTGATGGATTAATTAAAATCTTTAGGCTGCATTTGGTTGTAATGCAATTTTATTTGCAATAGTAAAAATGCATGGGAGAGCAAATGAAAATAATACAAAATTTGGTTTAATTTGATTTGGGTTTTACTTTACTCTACTTAGGGGTGCAAATGGATCGAATCATGATTTGATCCGATCCTATTTTGGTCAAATTCGGATCACCCCTGTTTAGATCTTTGTATTAGGTTGGATTCAGATCACCCCTTATCCGATCTAATATATTATATACTTATAAATATATATAATACATATATATTATTTATTTATTTATAAATTTGTTATATTATTTATTTTTTATAAAAAACATGTATATATATGATGAAAATAGTTAAAAAATATTTGTATTTTTGTTTTTACTTATTTAAATTAGTATTTTTTATTTTTATTTTAATAATTTATTAATTTTTAAAGAAAATAGGTCGGATCGGATCAAATCCAAAGATCCAACTTATCGATAGGATTCGAATTCAAATCGAGTCTTATCAGATCCAATCAGATCATATCGGACATGAACAATGTCAGATTAGATTCGAGGATACTTTGATTTGAATCCAATATGATCCGTTGCATCCCTAATTCAATTTCATTTATACTGCAATTGAACAAAATAAGGTAAAATTTGAAATAAAGATAAATCAAAATTTGTACCCAAATCATTTGCACTATCATAATTTGGCATTAGTTCAAATAGATTTATACTGCAACCAAACACAGTTTGGAAGGAGTGCAAATACAAAACTTATAGTGTATAGCTTTGTAGTTTGTATTTCTAAAACTGTATTTGCAGTGTACAAATTTATATTTGTATTCTTCTCAAACGGAACCTTATATAATCAGTAGGGCTACAAAATTTCAACTGTATCACGCTTGGGTTAGAATTGGGCCTAGTGGAAACTTTTAACATATTCCCAAGCCAACTTAGCTAAGTTGCATCCTAAACAAGGTTCAAAATATCGATACACCCAATATGTCGGTAGGGGCGTATCGAGCAAATCGATACATTTTTTTATTTGCCTTTTTTTTTCAAAACCAGTTCAAGGGGGCCGGTTTAGAGCTCTTCCACCCCCTAAACCAGTTAGACCCCCAATACACCCACTGTAAGAATGTATTGGAGAGGTCCCGAAATGATATGTATCAGCCAATACGTGTTGATACTTTGAACCTTGATCCTAAAGGCTACCCAAATTGTATAGCCCATCCATTTGTCTCGGGATCCATTCTCATCTGTTATTACCAACAATGGAGATTAAATGCCTATATGAGAGAGCTGAAGCTAAGCGTTTTTTGGTTTTCCGAGGTAGGGTCTCACATAGACAGCTTATAAATTATGTTTAGTTTTGTGAAAAATCTTGAGAGCCCAAATGGACTGTCATTCTGTAATTTGAAGGCTTTTATCTRCAATATTCTTTGAGTAGCTCGTATGGAGCACTTTAAAGCAGTTAAACCAATGTTTTAAAAACTAATCCGAAGGCCGACCCCCTTTTGTGTTCGGATCATGAGTCACCATTTCAACCGTTTAGGTCAAATGGGTCAGATTATACCACAACATTAAATCGATACATGTGTATATAGATACATATAGAAATGTATTTTATTTAATTATTTTTTTAGATGTAATATATGTATATATAAATATTTTTTATGTTTAATTTATATTTTTTAATTTATTTTTTATATTTTTATTTATAAAAATATAAAAAATTATAATTTGAGGTCTTAAAAAGGATTTTTTTTGGCAAAAATAGTAGGGCAAAGCAATTGGAACACATAGATATCAAAAACTTATACAAAATATAAAAAAAACACCCCAATCAAATATGAGAGTGCAAAGTTATGATCTCCAAAAATTTATACATACATTGACTGTACAATCCCCGACCAAGTGACCATGTCAAATGTGTCAACAGCTGAATCATCCAGGCCAGATGAATTTTTATCATATGAGCATTTTTTGACTAATAAACGAGTTTTAGTAAAACCAGACCTAAAATCAAGGCTAAATGACAGTTAAATGGTTCAACCAATTGGGTCGATGGTGRGTTGAGAACATTGGTTGAACCAGCGTGCAAAGATCAACTTATAACATAAGTAGGCTGAGGTGACGATTCTACCTGGTTCAACTACTTTGAATGGTTACATTTAAGTTATTCAAATGAAAAAAAAGAAAAGAAAGATCATAAACAAAAATAATATCAATTATTGCCCAAAAAAATTGGTACATGTATATGGTTTAGCTGTTTACCATGAGTCCGGATTTCCTAAGAGATCCGGAAACCCAACCGATTCCCTACTCTCTGCCCCTCGGTGCGTGGTTGATATTTGAACCTTTCCCACGTAATGACAGGTACTAGTTATGTACTTCATCCTTCTAAAAGAATCATGGACCATCCAGATCCAAGTTAAAGAGCTATCCACCTGCGCGTGCGCACGTGTACGATTTGTTTCTTCCCCCCGGAAAATTTAACAAAAAAGTAAATAATAAAACCGCTCTTCCCTTTCCCGTCCCTCTCCACGCGGTATTAGGTAACGTGGTACGAGCGAGACCGATACGACAAAAAGATATATGCTTGACATGGAACAATTCGGTCCCACGTATCGTGACGTATCGGAAAACTCAAGTGATTACGTCGGCCCCACGCTATCTCTTCCACTTCAATCATTCCCTTCATCGATCTTTGATAAAGATCCATCCCCGGAGATTGATAAGATAGGCATCAGGTGGACAAGGGCTTTGAAAAAACTTCTTCTATTAGACGAATACTGGAACCTGTTCATATAACAAGCTGGAACATATATAATCTTGCTCTACATCTAGCTACTTGGTCAGTCAAAAGATTCTAATCCAACGAGCCCTACGCGTTGGATCACTACTCGCCGTATCTCTCTCTCTCTCTCTTCATCGGAATCCTCACAAAATTCTGTGAGGTCTGGAGGGAAATGGACTGAATCGAAATTTTGAAAAAGCGTGGGGAGAAAGAGAAACAAGTGGGTGAGAAAGAGAAAGTTGCCAGCTGTGTCAACCGAAACGCGACAAAGCAGCTTCGCATCTTGGAGACTCTAACTGCCCAACTGCTTCCGTTTGTGGGACTAAAACTCCATAAATAAAGCCACGTGGGCAGGCGGAGGAATATGATGACAAGTTCAAAAGTCAAAAACCGTTCAAAAATTCTTTAAAAAATGACAAAATATTTTGTATCACGTGAGATTCTCCAGCCTGTCTGCGGGCCCACCGGACGTGGACTCGAGCAGATAGTCATCCATCTTCGAACATGAAAAAGAAAAACAAAAATCGGGCTTTCTTGTTTTATCAACTGTTCACTCGGGGTGGTTGATTTGGGCCGTTTGATTGGAGTGGACTTGAGGCTACGGATATGGAGCCCCTCCCCCACCAGCTGTAAGTCTGCAAAGTAGTCAAAAAGGCTTGAGACCCACTTGTCCTTTTAAAAGGTTTTGCTTGAAACGTGTTTAACAGCTCTCGCCTTACTGTCGTCATGTTTTAAACACCTCTACACTTATATATACTCTACCCGTCTAGATAAGATCATTTACTTTGCCAGACAAAGCAAAGTGTGTACGATAAAAAGAAGGGATGATTTTCATTTTAAAAATTATAATTTCTTTTATATCTACCCAAGCTGCAAGCAACGATGTTGATCCTGTGTTGCCCTGATTATCTCCACTAAGGTGGGTCGTCATGATTTCAACCTCATACGGAACGCCCAAATTTGTGAGATTGATCCTTACCCATTCAAAACTGAGCAACCGGTTGGATCATGGTTCATGGATGGCTCGTATTATCTTCTGATCATGATGGCATCTTGCTTGTTTCTTGTGATGTGAGAGCCCAATGCATTGGAAACCAATGGATTAGTTGGGGTCAAAGTCAAATTTGGAAGGTTGTGCTTCTAAAACTAAGTAACAGATTAAACTAACAAATTCAGAAAATGTTTGTCCACCACATATTCACATTGGTCTAGATCATCTGAACTTGGTGATCTCTATCGCTTTGCTTCAGTGGGACCCATAGGATGACCAGTCTTCCTTCTATGTTTGGTTTGAAGGAAAAAGTAGGAAAAAGAAGAAAAAGGTAGGTAAACGTTTACAAATCTTATATAAGTTTTCCTACCCTTTCCTTCAAACCACACATAGCCTTAGACCACAGATTGGAAAGTGGAAACGCTTTTTAAAGCACCATGAGCATGAGGTCGTGGACCATAGATCAAACCCGTCCAGTACTTTCCTTTTCCTCCGATCTCCTGCGAGTCGCGACAAATTCGCTCACAGAAGGGAATAAAATAATCGAAAAGCAATCCTAAGAATACCAGGGTGCGCATTTACACACCCAGCTCTACTTAGAGCCACACGAAGGGGAGCTTCCAGGAACCCGACAATGGAACGCAAAGCCTATGACCTCTTCTGTATATAAGAAGAGGTCACTGACTCAGTTGGTTCGCCCTATCGAATTCCTTCGTGGTTCGTATTTGGGAGTTCACTGACTCAACCCACCAACAAACGACCCTCACCCACAGTTAGAGAGTAGTCACCCTTCCTCTCTCGGACGCCATGGAAGCAATCTACACTTATTCTTCACCTTCGACGTCGTCGAGCGACTCGTCTGAGTCTGAGTCTTCTCATCCTGGTAATAAGCAGATGGGATCGACAAAGAAGTCGGAGAGGATCAAAGGACCTTGGAGCACCGAAGAAGACAAGATCCTGACCCGACTCGTCAACCGACACGGCGCCCGAAACTGGTCTCTCATAAGCCGCTACATACCAGGCCGGTCAGGTAAATCGTGTCGGCTCCGATGGTGTAACCAACTCAGCCCAAATGTCGAGCACCGTCCGTTTTCTCCAGCCGAGGACGAGACCATCTTGGCGGCACATGCCAGTTACGGCAACAGGTGGGCCACCATCGCTAGGTTGCTCCCTGGTCGGACCGATAATGCCGTGAAGAATCACTGGAACTCTACGCTTAAGAGGAGGCAAAGGGAACAACCAGTCGAAGATAACAATGGTGGTCGGAGCTTGGAATCTGGGTCCTCGTCGGAGACGAAACCGGACCCACCGACTACTCTGACACTTGCGCCGCCTGGCGTCAGTTGTTCGTTGCCGGAGAGGCGGATGGAGAATTTTTCTTCAGAGTTCTGGGATATGATGAGGGAGGTTATTGCCAAAGAGGTGAGGAATTATGTGTCTTCATCGCTGGCTGAAACAGCAGGGTTTCCGTAGGCCATAGCCGTAAGAGGAGTGAAAGATCGTAATTGCCAAAGAACGTCATTTCTGCCTCAGAACTGAGTTGGGGTTAATTAATTGTAGATCGTAATAGCCAGCTATGAATATCATGGAAAGCAGAGAAAAAGAAAAGTCTCTTCTTTTGAAACTGGCAGCCACAAGCAATGCAAACTCTAGTCCTCTCCTCCAAAATGAAAACTGCAATGTCTGTAAATGAGTAAATCGAAGTTTTCTTCTGTGAATTCTTCTTATAAATCCTTTTTCAATGGAAACTGCAATGCGGGAAGAATCAACGATTTCTTTCTTTTTCATATATAATAGCATCGGGAAATTTGTTGTTATTTGTTTGTGGGATGCTCCGCCGTGTAAATGCTAATCAGCGGAGATGAGAGGGTTTTTATTTATGAAATTAAACGTGTGGTCCATCCCACCAGTTAATCTACGTTGATGGCTCAGCTGGCTCCTGGCTCATAGAATAGAACCACCAGACCTGTTAAAAAGTTTGTTTAACATGTACGATTTGACTAGTAAGATGTGGTCCCACCAGTTAATCTACGTTGTGGTCCAACCGAACCGTCGGATTGCAGCTACCCTGGCTGTAAAGTATAAAAAAGAAGCATGTTCGCGGTTTGCCCTGGTTTCCTAGTAGGTAACCACTCAGTTTTGAGTCGGGAAGTATAAATTGGTACAGCTTGGACCACAGGCCACATGGTGTAGTCATTTATTGCTCAGATTCGCCTAAGATCCCTGCATCTGGTGTAGTCAGAAGTCAGAACTGGGTGGACGGCATGTACGTCCGGGTCACAGTAGGATGAAAAATTGGGTAAATCAAAGAAAAACCAGTTTGCCCACTGTTTCCGGTCCGATAATTTGGTCCGACCCAAGTCCCACAATAAGGTATGGGCCTACATGACCAATTAACCAGTAACCAAGCCTGGCCCATCTTGACTGCTAGAAATAGAAGGTATGGGCAGGCATAGGCAGTCAACCACCACCGTTCAAAGGGTCCCACTTAAGAGATATGCAATCACTCGGGTGGTGCCAATTGCCAAATTGTTTTCTCAGTTTACATTTTGTCTCTTCGTAATCTTACTACTACAAACTTTGTCATGTCAATGACCTAGGTATCGTTGCAAGTAACCAAATTATTTCAATTCAGTCACCAATTGATCAAAACCATTTTTGCATTAGTTAAACTCAACTCATGCTTTATAAGGCATAGTAGGGATGTCAACTGGTCGGGTTCGGCACGGGTTTGCCTCAACCCTAATCCGATACTCCAGTGTCTCAACCCGAATCTGACCCGATTCATCTTAAAATACATTATTTCCGAACCTGACCTGACCCTATAGGGTCTACTCCGATACTGATCCGACTTAATCTATAGCATTTTAATTGTATTTTTTGACATGTTTTGAAGATCTAAAATCCATTAATTTAAGTTTAAAAATTGTTTCTGAAGTGTCACTTTTTCTATTTAAAAAAAAAGAAATCAAAATCAACATGTAAATAAATATTAAACTGTAAGGCTATAGAGTTAAAAGTAAAAAAGTCACAACAATACCCCTATATATATGAAGGGTGTCATAACCTGGTCCAGCCAAAACCCGAATCAGGCTCGGATTGCAGAATCAAAACCCTAATTCGACCCTAAATCCAAATATATCTACAGACCCTAACCTGGTTGGTTCAAGCTGGGTTTACCATTTAACCCGACTCATTGACATCCCTAGGAATATGCTTATCTTTTCAAGGGCCTTCCACTTGCAATCTTTATTAGAACTATGCAAAATAATATAGTCCTAAGTAGGGGTGTTCCCATTAAATGTCAAGCCGACAAAACCAGTCCGACCCAACTAGAGTTGGTCGATTTTTCAAAACCACTAGTTGGTTTCGGTTTGTATGAGAAAATAAACTGACAACTCGATTCGGGTGAACTCTATTAGTTTACGAATAAACCGCCTCCAAATGAGGTGGGCCAGTAAGTCACGTCCCCCTGGAGATCTCGGGCGTGTAGTGTGAAGCCCAYGAGAACAAGTGCCTGTATAAAGGCGTCTCAGTGATCAGAAAAGGTATGAGCGATTTAACTCTCAAAATGTCTACTAGCCCTTGCATTCTAGCTCTGCAAAACACTCTTCACTGACTTAATCGTTGGAATGCCCACCCTGGATAAAACAACCTAGACACTTTGATCTCTTTCTTTACGGTTCATATAAGCAACGTACTTAATTCAGTGTCCGAGTTATTTGCCAACAGAAAACACCAAATGATGCATCATCAAAACTCAAAGTAGGAAATTGAAAAAAAAAACCTTTGATTTAAGTTGTATATTTTTAATCTTTTCATTTTTGGTCTTCAACTTTAATTAGAAGAGACATGCACGGGAAGGTGTTAAAAAGATGACCATATTCCAAAGGAGACCGGATCTGCATATCGCCCTGCTGTGTGCGAAAAAAAAACTATGTAATTAATCACAACATCAAAATGTTGATGTCCAGAAGGAGGACAGGAAACCGATTCATCTACAACAATGCCGGCCATTCAAGCTTATGGTAACAGGTTGGACACGCGGTTGCCATGGAAAGTGGTAGCCAATTCTTCAAGATTTATTTCATTTTCTATGCTAATATGTAGGAGCATTCTTCTGCTTTTTAGCTTTAAAATGTCAAGATTCTAGTAGAGTATGTACCAATTGAAGCTGAAAGGCCCTGTTACATTTATGCCAAATATATTGATTATCTTATACTTTATTCATGATTTGCAGGTTCACCTGCCTAATAAGGTATGTTACATCTAACTTAGTATTAATTACTAGTAAGTAAACACATGCACATGCATGGGCTTGAATAGAAATTTGGTTAGATTTGGCTTGGTAAATTTAGTTTTTAATATCAATTTGGATTCAGGTTGGGTTGGTTTTTAATCTTGAATCAAATCCATCTAATTTATATCCTTGCTTAGGGGTACAAATGTATCAGATCAATGATCCGATACAATCCTATTTTGTTGAATTTGAATCCCCCACCCAAATAAGATCTTCAGGTCAGAAGATAGGAAGTATCAGAAATCAGATCGAATTCGAGTCATTTCTTGTCTAGTCCGGTATGTATACATATACATATACATATACGTATATATATATATATATATATATATATATTATATGTTATTTATTACATTTTTTGTAAATTTGTTATATTAATTTTTTATAAAAACATTTTTATATATGACGAAAATAGTTGAAAAGTTATTTGTATTTTTTGTTTTTCTTTATTTAAATTTAATTTTTTTAATTTTCTTTCAATAATTTATTAATATATAAGAAAATTAAATTGGACCGGATCAGATCTGAATATCTGAATTCTTCATTGAATTTGAATTCAAATCCATATGTATGAGATTGGATAGGATCACCCCTAAACAATATCTGAGGATTTGAATATAGCCAGATTCAAATTTGATCCGATCCATTTTGCATCCCTACCCTTGGTTTATTAAGAGAGTCGAAATGGGCAAATGGAGATTTAAGAGGAAAGAATGAATTTATTGGGAAAGCAAAGATGCTACACTACCCCAAAAAATAAAGTATTATTTAGGTTTCATCAATACCCCGTGCACGTAAAGGACTAAAGGTAGGATTGATCATGGGCCAGGCCGGGCTGTGCACTTATGATAAGGGCTATAGCTTAGGCCCAGGCCCGAACCCGGCCTGGGGTTCCAGGCCTGAAATATAAGCCCTAGCCCAGGTCTATACAGGCCCGGGCCGGGCCGGGCCTGATTCCGGGCCCATGTCACTCATATATAAAACATTACATATTTATATATTAAATGGCATAACATGCATATAAACTAATTTTATACATTATATAATATAAAGTATTACATATAATATAAATTATACATATCATGTTATAATATTTATACATAAAATATATAATATAATGTAAAATAATATGTATACATTATACACAAAATGTGTAAGTTTAAATATATGCAGGTCGAGCCGGGTTTAAAGTATTAAGCCCAAGCCTGGCTCTAAAATTTGTAGGCCTGATGTGGGCCCGGGCCAGGCCTGAACACAAAACCCAGGCCCAAGCCTGGAATTTCTTGGGCTGAAATGATCACAGGAAGCAGAATGTTGTGTGACAATATCAAATTAAATCACCCGTGTGGTGTGCCCAAATCATTTCTGCAATGTGTTCGGGTCTGATCTACTGTAAGACCCCAGCTCATCTGTAAATTAGGCTGAGTTTGGAAGGAAAACAAAATGCTAATATTTAGAGTGCAAAACCTTATATTTGTATTATTTTTTATATATTTATGCTGTACATATTAGCATTTGTACTCTTTCCAAAATTGAGCCTTGGTGATAGTTTTGGTTGCAATTTTGAATCAGAGTATATGGTATCTTAAAGAGTATAAATACATACAAAATAATATAAAAAATAAGGTTTTGCACTCTAAATATTTTTATTTGTATTCCTCCCAAATCGATCCTTAGGCTGTGTTTGGTTGCAGATTTGCAGTGTAAATTTATATGCACTAATGCAAAACTATGGCAGTGCAAATGTTTTGGGTGTAAATTTTTTATTTATTTTTGTTTTAAATTTTATCTTATTTTGTTTGGTAACAATACAAATAAAATAAAATAACACCCAGAAAGAAATAAAATAAAATCCAAAACAAAATTAAACCAAAATTTATATTTTTTTTTATTTGCATTTCCATAAATTTCTACTAGTGCACTGCAACCGAACACAGCCTTAAGAAATGCTATTAATCAGTATCATGTTGAAACTAAGAATATTCTTAAGCACCACATAACCCTTAGTAGCTGGTAAGTTATGGCATAAAACACTTAAGCAGGTCGAATTTTCTGCATTCCTTAAGGATATGTTTGGTTTAAAGGCAATGGTAGAGTCCATTGTTTTCCCAAACTTTTCTTTTAAACCAAACATAGCTCAAGGCTGTGAAATTTCGTAGGAGCCTTCGATTTTCTTTTTCTCCCTTTATTTTCTATCAAACGATAAATAGCCCAAGACTTGTCTTTAGATTGCTAGGTGAAAAGCTAAAATGTCACATGGACCCTACATTTCAATAGGCTAGTTTAATAGCATGTGCAAAATACACGTATAAAAGGAAGGAGAGGGGAAGATGAATGAAGTGCGGAAAGATGAAAATAATTGGAGAGAGAGAATAACAATAAAAAAAAAGAAAAGACATGGGGCCAAGGGAAATATTGGCATAGACAGGAAAAAATTGGGGAGAGAGAGAAGTTTTCTAACTCTTTTACATGATGGTTTGGACATCTAGGCAAAGCGAATTATCAGCCTCGTAGTCAAATACCCGACCTGGGTCAGACATATATTCAGGCGAATCAGGCCTAAGGTACAGACCATGCTAGGCTTGGCCAACACAGACCAAAGGCCAAAATGATGTTAC